CGGCAGCAGCAGCAAACAGCAACAGCAGCAACATACAGGTCGGTCTAGCCCGGTCAAGATCTGCGGCAGCCACGGCAGCAGCAGCTGCGGCTGCGCGCATTTCCCCATAAGTTGTCTAAAAACTCTAAAGCACAGTGATGACTCTCTTGCTGCAGTTGCTGCTGCTGCTGCTGGAGACCCTGCTGCAGGAGCCGCAGCAGAACCTGCTGCTGCAGCTTCAGGGGAGTGCGGGCTGTCGCCTGGGGCCCCAGGTGGCATCATTCTAGCAGAAGCAGCAGCAGCAGCTGCTGCTGCTGTTGGGTCTGCTGTGCCATCGACGGGGACGCCGGCGGCAGCTGCTGCAACTGCTGCTGCCGGGTCTAGCGGAGCTGCTCCTGCTGCTGCTGCTGTTGCTGCTGCTGCTGCTGTTTGTGTGGGCGGCCGCGTGTCGCCGTCGTAAGAAAGCAGCCACAACACACGCGACATATACAGTGAGCTCTTCACTGGCCTGCGCACAAACCCGAAACCCTAAAACCTAAACCCTAAACCCCAAAAGCGTGGCCAAAGGACCGAACAGCCCCTGTTCTGCTCCCTGAACTTCCACGTGAAAAGTTACCTTCACAGCAGCAGGGAACCCTTAAGTTTCCAAACCCTAAACCCTAAACTTCAAACCCCAAACCCTAAACCCTAGAGCACCTGAGTTGTATATCCATGACGTAGCCAGTCACCGCTGCTGCAAGGTGGAGCTGCAACGCTGCCCAGTCTGCTGCAGAGGTTTCTGCTGCAGCGCTGTCGCCGCTGCTGCTGCTACTGCTGGCGTGTGGGGGGTTCGCGCTTCCGTCGGCATTGGGGGGGGCGTCTTGGTGAATTTGTTGCTGCTGCAGGACCTGCTGCTTGTGCATTTTCTGTTGCTGCTGCTGCAGCAGCAGCTGCTGCTGCTGGTGGCGCTGCTTCAAAGCTGACAAAAACAATGTGTCGTGCAGCTTTCCCCAGCACAGCCACGCAGGGGCATAAAGCGGCTGCAGCAGCAAAACTGTCCTCAGGACAGACTCTGCTTCTGTCGCCAGCTCTGTACGTACACCTCACACCCCACACAACAGCAGCAGCAGCTCAAGCAGCAGCAGCAGCACAAGAAGCCACGGCAGCAAGCGGAACCGCTGCAGCGCTGCAAAAGCAGGAGCTGCTGCTGCAGCCCAAGGAGCCCCAACTAGCTAGCAGCAGCAGCAGCGCACCTTCTCTAGTTAGCCCTGGGTGCTGCTGCGGCTCATTGGCTGCATGCAAGCGGTGCAGCAGCTTGGCCTTCAGCAGCAGCAGCTGCAGGCTCTGCTGCTGCAGCTGCGGCTGCTGCCAAGGGGGCCCCTCACAAAGCGCCTCCATGTCTAACGAGTTCAAAAGCTGCACCCCTGAGACAGCAGCAGCAGCAACAACAGCAGCAGCAGCAGCAAGGTGAGCGTTAAGCGCCACAGCGCTGCGAGGCAGTACGCGTCAGCGCAGCAGCAGAAGCACATTCGGCCACCGCAGCACCTGCCACAGCAGCCCTGCAACCTGCAGCAGCAGCAGCAACCACAGCAGCAGCAGCAGGGAGTAGCGGCGCACCTGAGACCCAGTGAGAAGGATCATCAAGACAGAGCTTTGCCTTCTCAACCTGAGCAGAACCACGCCGAAGCCCGCCAAAGCCCAACCCCTAAACCCCAAACCCTAAACCCTAAACCCCAAACCCCACCCCCAAAACCCCAACCCCTAAACCCCAAACCCAAACCCCACCCCCCAAAACCCCAACCGCCCCTCCCCCGCGA